CCCCTCCCCCCACCGCCGCGCGCGTCTCCCCCCGCCGCGCAGTTCATAAAGAGCGTCAACTTGCAGCTCAAGCCTAACCTCTACTGGCTCGAGAACGACCTCGGCCTCACAAGGGGAGAGGTGAGTGCCGCATGTCAGGGAACCGCCCCCCCCCCAACCCGTGTCGGCGACAACTAACACGAAATTTTCGGAAGTAAGAATTTCGGAACGCCCCTCCGTGTTGAAAGCGCCCGCTACATCACGCTCTACCCCCCCCCCCCCCCCCCCCCCCCCCCCCCCCCCCCCCCCCCCCCCCCCCCNCCACAGTTGCTGGTCAAGAGCGTGCCGTCCAACTTCATGCCCAAGATTTGTTTCTTCGAGAGGAGGCTGGGGATTGGCAGAGATGGGATCGGGCCCATGCTGGTTCGGTACCCTCAGGTGCGGTGACGGTTGTTGTTGCTGCTGTCGTCGTCGGCGTCGTTGTTGTTGTCGTTGTTGTTGTTGCACGCCTGTTTACATTTTGCGGCGCCGGTTGTTCTTCATCCCCCTCCGCTCGTCTGTGTCACGGATGTCCCATTCTTGTGCCAGCTGTTCAACTTCAGCTTGAAGAACATGGCGTGGAAGGCCCGGTGGTTGGAGGAGGAGCTGCTGCTGAACCACATCGAGGTCAAGAAAGTGTTCGTGCGATGTCCCTCCGTGTTAGCCTACAGCGCGGAAAGAAATCTGGTGAGAGTCTAAAAACGTCGAAGTGAGCGAGAGCGAGAGAACAGAGAGAGGGATAGGAGGAGTGTCTTACTCGGGTCTAATCAAGCAAGAAGTTCTGAGAAGGCCGTCCCCTCCAACGTGCTTCCTCATATTATTTCTCGACCTCCTTTCTCTGACTTTTGTTTTCGTTGCAGATCTTGGGAGTACCTGTGCACCTTTGGCGTGTTGTGATACCGCTTTCTGAATTTCTCGCGGTGCTTGCTTCAACGAACAGGTTCCGACTCTGGAGTTCTTTTTGGACGAGCTGGGGGCGACAAGACAGCAGGTGTGTATCGCATGCGTGGAGTGGTGTGTCGCGTGTGTTTCTATTGCTCGGCATCGATCGCGCCGCGTAGCCAGCCGACCAAAGAAAATGCATCAGCCACGCGCGCGTGTGTGCGCGCGTCTTTGCATTGGTCATGTGTTCCTGTTTTTGAGTTGCATTGAACGAGCCACTAACCACAACGGACGACAAACGGCCAGGCGTCACCGTGTGGGGCGCGGAAAATTTCGCCAGGACATTTTTTCGTTTGGAAAACCCCTTACCCTCGTCCCACTCCATACCGGCTACACGCCTATTATGAGCCCCACCCCCCCGATGCTCTTGGAAGTTTCTTTCTGCCCTTTCCACCTGCACCCCTTATGTCTTGCACATCCTTGCGCGTAAACCCTACAGGTTCGAGAGGCCGTGACAAAGCAACCGAGGCTTCTGGGGATGAGCCTCGAGAGGCGACTAAGACCGCGATTACAGATCATCCGGCAGGCGGGGTTTACCCCTTCTTGGGAGTTGCATCACAGGGTGAGTTGTACCGTTGAGTTTCCTCGTGCTTGAGGACGGTCGCGAAGACATCCCCCTCATGTGCAATGCGCCTGTATATATGGGAATGTGTGCATGTCTCGCTTTGATACCCGTGTGCTGTAGGGCGAGTTTGGAGAAATTGCGGCCAGGGTCGGCCCGACTGTAGTTGCTGACAAGCCCTTGGGGCACGGTGGGTGGGAACCATGGGGGTGTGAAAGGGATGTGGAAGGTATGGAGACTTAGTCGCACTCCTTGATTTTTAGCATGGCAACGTCGACGGCCATTACCGCGACCAGGGCGAAGGCCCATCCACCTGACCGCTCCAGCATGTACATAGGTTATAGACCGCCTTGTTGACACGCGAATTGGGATTAACTCGAGCTCGTTGGTGTGCAGTGATGCGCGGCGCTCAAGGTGTGTGTTGTGTGCTGTCGCCCCATCTGTTCGGGCGCCAGTCTACGTTAAGTATTTGGTAGGTATTTTTACCGGTGTACTGCATGAGGAAGATAACGCAGAATTTTTCTCCTTGTCTCACCTTTCCCCTGTGATGAATGGTCACTGATGTGCTCTTTTCCTTGTCCCCCCTAGTAGGAGATGCCGTAGTGAAAACGTTCTCACCGGTTCGTCGAAAATGCGGGGTCGCCGCTGTATGCACCGCCTCGGAAGAATTGCGGGATGTCTGCGCCCAGCTTCCACGGGCAAATCGGACTGTGGGGGTTGGCCAAGAGATTGTTTTTGCAGCGCCCGATCGTGAGGTAGGTTTGCAATACGTCCTACCAATATATCTGGCATATGCTGTCGACGAAATTACTAAATCCCATTGCCGTTTTTTTTTTCACAACCACAGGTGATGCTCTTTGCGAGCGATGTTGTGTTTAGGAGGTGGCTGCAAGAAGAGCCCACGGGGGCGGCGCAGCGACGACGAGAGTTGCAGGGGGGGCGATCGCAGACAGGACGGTGGCGATATTGATGCGCTAGCAGAGGAGGGGCCTGGTTGTGTAGGGATGAGCGCGGTCGCCATTCTGTAGGAGCAAAGCCGCCTTTTTGGTGTAGCGGCACTGCTCTTTGGAGGCACACCGCATGCACAAGACTATGTACCCTGGGTGTGGGGTAGGTACACCATTTTGTTTTGCGCGGCAATATTTTGTCAGGGTGGCGGTGTTGGTGTTGGTGGACGTGGTGTGGTGTGAAGGTTGCATCCGCCTTGCGAGCATGAGGTGCCGGAGGAGCCCACATGTCTCTACAAAAAAAGTAGATAAGGGTAAACTGGCTAGCGGATAACGCAATAGTCTAAATAGGCGAGACAGAATCGGACAAGCCATAATAGCATCACAACACAAGGGTGGAATTCAAGTTCGACGTGTGGACGCGTAGACGCTGCTGCTATCTCATCGCAGCTTCTTTTTAGTACCGCTACATTGGGGGGAGTAGACTGTTCTAGATAGGTCAGTGTGAAGAGTTTAGTCGGAATTTGATATTGAGATCAAATCATCCTCCTATTTGTGTGGGTAGGCGGTCTCGATCAGACAAGCCAGAATAGTGGCAGTTGGCGTGCTACCAACTCTTTCGCGGCGGTGGGGTGTTGGAATCCGCGTGCGTGATACCAACAGGATGAGACGTAGGGATGACGCACAAAAGGGTGCCTAGCGTGCACACAAGCAGCGTTCTTCCTCCAGAGCATCGAGTGAGCCAGCTGCAATGTCTGTTGGCATGGCGAGATACGTTTCCTCGAGTTTCAGCCTTTGATCCGCTTTGCTTTTCCTGGCAATGCGAGCCGGAAGCGGGTTGACATTGCGTGTCGGTGCCAGTGGAGAAGCTATCGAGAGGGTTTTTCACTCCGAGGGCAGTGCCGCCTCAATATTCATGTCAAGTCTTGACTCGAGAGTCCCCCCTACTTTGTCGCGGAGATCAGAATCCCGTTCTTTTTCTCTTTTTTTCCAGAGTGTGCGTTCAATGTCACGGAAAACACTACCCGTGCTAGACATAGCCGCAGTCGAAGGGGATGCGTTGTAGTCGTTCTTTTTCTTTCCGAAACATTATCCGTCGAGGAGGTGCCTTTCTTAAATAAATCACAGGGAACTCTCATTCCTTGTACGGCCCAACTTGTCGGTCGCGGTTGGCGAGGTCGGTCTTGAGTTCATTCAGCCTTGCGAATTGGAGAGTCCTGCGTCCTACCTCAATTCTTCGTGAAGGAGTGACCTCGCTGATGACGTTTTAGTGCCTGCGGTCGGTGTGGCAAGCGCCCACGATTTCCAAAGACGACAAATGTTACTCTTTCACGTCACAGCACGCGAATGAGGCCGCTAGATCATTTTGGGAATTTTTCCTCCTGCATCGGGCGGACAAGCACGCACACAAGCGATGCACTTATCCCGCTGTCCGACACAAGCGACGAATTCATTCTGCCGTTTGACTGTATAGTGGCCCCGTCAGTAGCCGGTGCATGCTTCACCCTGTAACAACGCCTCGAAGAAACCTACCGTCCGTCCACCTTTTCCCTGTCTGAATGGCAATCACACGCCTACCCTGAGAGCTCGAACCACAAGTTTGTGATATTTGCAGGCGACAAGCGCACTTGGTAGCATGCAGCAGCGACACTCACAGGATGTTGCACTCGATGTACATCAAACCATCATTCCGCACCCTATGGCACAGCCACCAAAAAAGAAAAAGACCCTGTGACTCACACCTAGTCAAGCAGTGTGTACTTCCGGATCCTGAGGGCTGTCCCTTCCCAGCAACTTTCGACCACGCCCGAATGCGTCCTTCTTGTACAGCAGTATTTTCTCGAGCGGTGCGGCCTGAGGAAGTTCTTGTCCTACTGACGAAGAATAGCGACAAAGTAATGAACGCAGGCCAGAACGGTACTTCCACCAACACCAACGGTGACGCAGTTCCCTCCCCTCCATCTGTCACGGCCTCTAAACAAACTCGCCCTGATGTACATCTCTACTACAAAACTCACTGCAGCCCGAGCACGCTTGATGGCTCAGGAGCTTCCCCGAATGCACAAGATGCTAGTTTCACGTCTCAATAAAATATTTGAAAAACGAATATGGTGTGACACGTTATCGCATCACACGGACATTCACTATTTACCAGTCCTTCCCCCTTCATCGAAGCACCATGCGTACAAACGCAGCATCGAAATCCACACCGAGAAAACTGCGTGGGATACAACTCCAGGTACTTTCACGAAAACGCAACACGTACAACATTCACATGGGGTGGAAGCGGAGGGCATTGTACAACCAACCGCCACGCCTTGTGGGAAACCTAGAACGACTGAAAAAAAGGCGTCAACAGCAACACTACTATATTACGAGTGACTTTTCAATAGTGAAATCTCCCCTCCTCAAATACATTCGGTTTTTGCCGCACGTTGCGTGCAAACAAGCAGCTGCGAGACGAAGGGGGATGTTCGAAAACGAATCTCCTGTACAACATGAACACACCATCCAAATAATGCATATTGACGCAACTGTCATAGGGCCGGTGCGCTCACCAAACACTCGAAGCGCCTCGGTATCGATACGTCAGTCGCTAACGAGGACTCCGTGACGTTTTCAACGCTTTTCTCGGTGGGTTCGCCCGCTTCACAGCTTGCTGTTTCGCGAACGGCATCTTGCTTGTAGCTCCACAACAGGTGCTCAATGGTTGACCACGGTACTTCTTTAGCGAAGCCCTGCCCCTGAATCAATCGCAGGCGCCCCGATGGGTAGGGTCCTCCTTGCCCTCCGGGAAACCCGGCATGGTCACTGTATTCTTTTGTTGAGCTTGCCCCCGTCATCGATGCTCTCCTTGGCCACTGCTGGTGAGTGTTTCGCCGGCGGTTGCGCCGAAACGTCGCTGCTGCTCGAGACTGCTGGCGGCGGGCTGTTCGCCTTGGAGGGCCTCTTCGCCGACTCAGAGCGACCGGCCGCTCCTTCTACCCGGCTTTTCGGCTTGGGGGATCTCTTCGCCGACTCAGAACGACCAGCCGCTGTTTCTACCCTCTCGAGAAAGTCTACAGGATCGTGGGCGCTACAAAGTGACGGATGAAAGGCAAGGCAAGGAGGAGAATACGAAGGTCCGTGGGAGCACGGTTTTGAATTCTTGTACATCTGCGCGGGCGGCGCCTTGACTACACCGTCGTTTGCAGCATTTTGTACAGAGAAAACTCATACCCAACAGCAGGACACCTTCAGAGCTTCCCTGCACAACGGGGCCTGCAATTCGACGCGCTTGGCGCTGCTACATGCTGTCCTGTGGATAAACCATTCCATTTATCGTGTCCGTGGAACAAACTCACAAACCTAGAGAGTAGAGAACCGCACGCATTTCCGCTACCTCTCCGCTCATCAATCTCTCACCTAATTTTGTTGACAATCCACGCGGGCGCGATCCCTCCTGGATCAACCTGACAGAATCACGGGTTTATGTTCAGATGTGAAAGCACGGGGCCAAGGGAGTGATCGGGGTTAAAATCGATTCCGAAAATGGCGATTTCGGGAAACGATAGCACCACAGCTACCACGTACCTGAGATGCGAGCAACTGAATTGAACGTTTGTTTCTTTTGAGAGCATGTTGGTCAGCAAGCCAGGCAAGAGCCAATCCGTACCATGCCAGATTATTACGTCAGAAATACAAATATCGGGGAAGGGATCGTTGATCCTGAGCGCTTGCTGCATGCACTACACAAGGATAAAACAAGCCGTGGTCAAAATTTCAGCCAGACGCTTGACTGGTGGGTGCAATTCGCCCATCGGTAAGCTTTGTTGTCGCCCTCCTTCATGCTCGTCCTCTTTCGAGGACGCGTCGGCGATGCCCCAAGGCCTACGGCATGCAAACCACGAGTAAACGCCCCCCCCCACCCCCTCGGTGTTTGCCATCAGGATTGGGTTTTAAAGCGACGACGTTGTAAAACCAACCAATTCACTTCGTGAACTCGGCAACCAGGCTGCCGTTTTCTTTTTTAACCTCTGCTTTTTTTTTTGGCGGTAACCATAATGGTGGTCGAGTAGATCATGTTGTGCGGGGTAGAGAACCCTCACTCCGCGCAAGGGGGATGATCGCACCACGTTGTGTTAAAATGGTCAAGCACCCTCGAGGCAGTTACACAGTGCTTACAACTGTCTCTGGAAGTGA